AGAGAGAGAGAGACAGAGACAGAGACAGATGGAGAGAGACAGAGAAAGACACAGAGACACAGAAAGACAGAGAGAGAAAGAGAGAGAGAAAGAAAGAGAGAGGAGGATGGAAGGTGAGCAGACTCTTTTAAAAGGAAACATAGTGAATATGCAAAAGTGGTGCTCTTAGTGACTGCAACTGAGGGCGTATGCTGTCAGAAACCCAAGGACAGACCAGTGCATATGTCTAACTACTAACACCTACCAGAGAGATAGGAGAAATTCTTGAACTACACAGTTTTTCAATGAAGTTTCATACAAATCATGACAAAACAGGAAATACCCTGGAGATAGAACAAATAAGAAGTAACTCAATATAGAGAACCATTAGAAAGGCTCACATTTATTCAGTACATATCATAGCATAGGACACTAACTTATATGTTTGACCAAATGAATCTGAATCTTTCTTTGGTCTTGCACAAAAAGAAATATTTATTTTTAATATTTTATAAATAGAAATAGAAATAATTCTGTCCAATGCAATTGACCAGAAAAATACTTTAATTGATGAGAGCAATTCCCAAGCCCATGACCTTTCCATAATCTTCTGTGAGGCTTTCACTTCTTGGGTGTGACATCAGTTCCATCTTGTGATTCCCTGCCTTTGTTTCCCTCATATACAAAAATGAAACCCAAATATGCATATTGTTCTGTTCCTTATCTAAATATTGTCAGTAAATAGCCACTTTTCTCTAAGAGAAAATACTATACTCCTAGGAATTTCTTTCAAGTCAAAAAGCTTGAAAATATAAGTACAAGAGTACTAAAGGAGTGGCTGGAGAGATTTCTCAGTGGAGAATAGCACCACTGACTGCCTGCCCTTCCAGATGACCCGGGTTCAATTCCCAGCACCCACAAGCCTGCCCATAATCCTCTGTAACTCCAGTTCTGCCGTATCCTACACCCTTTCTGGCATCTGGGGTACCAGAGAGGCACACCATGCACAAATACACATGCAAGCCAAACAATAATACTTATAAAATGAAATAATTATTGACAAAGCACCAGCCCTCAGTCCTGAATGTTTGAAGACACTTTCTCTTTTCTTTTTTTTTCCTTTTTTTTAAACAGCCATATCATTATGAGTTTTACTGTTAATAGAGATGAATAGACACATAGGCAGAACTTGCTATCCTTGGAGGACCACTAGTAAAATAGTGTTTCAAAAGCATTATTTTGATAAAGGAATTTTTCTGTCAGAAGATGAATAGAGTTGATAAGCTCAGTGTCTCTAAAGGGTTTCTCAAACTTGCACTTTCAAAAAATTAATAACACAAAGGAGAGTGCTTTAGGAAATGAAGAGTACAGTAACTACATTCTGTTTTATTAGAGAAAGATAGGCTTCCTTCCCAGGGTAACAAGATTTTTCACAGCTATCTGCCTTCCAGAGTGATTAGATCTATTTAAACCCATCATGGTCACACAGTGTCTGTTGATTCCATGCATGTCATGGGACTCTGGGGGCAAACAGCTCTGTGAACAGGGAAGGCATTATACTGGCAGCTGGAGAATGCCTAACTGCAGACTACTTCTGTGTCACTTTGCTATTCTGACGATGCCATGAGGGACTCTGAGTTTGAAGAACCTCCAGAGAGTAATAATGCAGGCGTTAATCGTTAGCATCTCCCAGAATTCTTGTAGTTCTCATCTCCTCCAGATTTTCAGGCTGCTGTTTGTGTAATTGAAGAAAACGACATAGCCAAAGGGAGGCAATTTATCTTGTGAAACTCTCCATAGCACAGCAACCAAACTGAGTTGAATCAGGAAAATCCAGGCAAAAGTAATAATTGACCATCAGGGGCCTGTGGGTGTGGTTTCTCCTATTTTAATACCACCAAATTGTAGGCCAAAGAGAAAATTATTTTAAGATGAGTTAAAAACATGTAAGATTTAAAGGAAACTCAAAGAAATATCTTTTCACTAGAAACAGCAGTCTCGGCAAAGAGATGTGGAGGAAGTGAGGTATTTATCATTCGGTCCCCATGAATACGGAGAAATGACATCCTGGATAATATTGTCTGCCTGATGCTCACTGGATTTGCAATGCCAAGTTGAAAGTATGGTCAGAGATCATTACTCTAATGCAACCTGTAATAGTCAGACCATGAAATACATTGCAAGTACCAGAAAATTTTCTCAGTATTTGTTCTTCTCTTACTGCTATGTATCAGAATGAACTTGAAGTAGCTTCAGGGGAAAAGCACCTCATGTAACTGCCAAACATTAGAATGTCTACAACATTATAGACAGATATCCTCTTAGAGCGCTCTCTCTCTCTCTCTCTCTCTCTCTCTCTCTCTCTCTCTCTCTGTGTGTGTGTGTGTGTGTGTGTGTGTGTGGTCTAGAAGTAGTTTCAGTTTAACTTGTGATTAATAGCATTAACAGATGCACCAAAGCAACCAAGGAAGAGGGAAAATGATATCTACTTATCAATGCTAGCAGTACCAATAAAAACAAACTTTGCTCTTGCCAAATTAGAGCCTTTACATTAATCTGAGCATACAGATTTTTTAGAACATAGTCCTTTGTTGGCTAGGATTCTAAAGGGTCTTCAAACCCTGTCAGAGAAACAGATTGAAAGAAAACAGCAAAGAAAACCAAATAATGAAGAATTAAAAGGAATTGAGGTCTGAAATAATGTGAATGCAATAGAAAATCCCTTACTCAGCTTGAAAGCTTGCTTGAACATTTTTCTGTTTCTCTGTGTAGCTCTGGCTTTCTTGCAACTCCCTCTGTAGATCAAGCAGGCCCCAAAAGAAAACAGCAAAGAAAACCAAATAATGAAGAATTAAAAGGAATTGAGGTCTGAAATAATGTGAATGCAATAGTAGGCCCCAACTCAGAGATCT